ATTAGCACTTTAATGAATCAGATGCCTAGACACCATCATTCAAATTATCACAAACATTTGCGACAACAGACAAAACCACATTATTACACTATTCGGACTATCACTACAATACACAGTAGAAGATGGAATCGACTAAGGAGACACTATATCACCCTTATTCTGGAAAATCTTCTATATCCCACTCCTCTCCCTAATCTCAAAAACACGAAAGGAATATACCCTCACAACAAAATGGAAGGAATCTATAGCACTATCAACCATCTCAACTCAAAATATCTCATGCTTAGCATTCATGAATGACACCACCCTAATAGCAAGCAGTCAAAAAAGACTACAAAAAATAAGTTACATCAGCTCAACCTTTTTCACAATAAATGACATCCACATCAACACATCCAAATCAAATCTTTTAGTTCTTAACTCTGTATATGACCCAAACAACCAGATTCTAATTCATGAACAACCAATTACAAGGCTCCCACCAAATCAAGCAACTAGAATCCTAGGAATATACCTGAAAGGCAAAGGATTAAAAACATATTAACAATATCTGATAAAGGAAAAAATATTAAAATATGTTAATATGATCAAATAGAAATAAATAACAGATAAACAAATTAGATATTTATATAATCAAGTCTGAACATCAATGATAATATACCTCTTATTTGATATGGTTCTCACAGAATCAAACTGTAACAAAATAATGAGTATTTTAAATCCCATCTGCAAATATAAACTCAACCTGGCAAAAACAGCACCCAATACAATCTTACACAACCCACTGGAATATAGTTTCTTCCCTCTGGAATAGACAACTACTATTTCATGTCAATAACTGATACAAAAGACTAAATAGACAAGATATCATAGAAAAAATCACCAGTATATATCTATAGGAAGTGCAAAACAGATGATGGTCAACCAAATCCATAACAAGCATACAATTCACAGACCCATTCTTACCTCAAGGACACGACTTTACACATGATCTTCTCTTTCTTTTCAAATAACATGGATATACAGGAATAGTACAAAACCTTCAAATCTTCAAAGAAACAGACATAACTATCGAAGAAATAACAGAACCAATGTGATACAATAAACACAGAAAATAGCTTACAACAAACTATATCCTCTTATTGAATTGGTTCAAAGAAATTTAACAAAACCAAAAAATCCTAACCTTAATCAAAAACAGACGAACATATACACAAGCCACAAAAATCAATCACAGACTAGCAATAGAAACATCAAATCAAGAAATTAAATGGACTGTATCACAAGACACCAACACAAGTGTCATTGGCAGAAAGCATGCCATTCAATAGAACACAGTCAAACTATAATATTATATTAGAGTCAATAACAACTGTTCCCTCCTAAAAGAATGCGATGAGTGCCCCTTGAATACCTCAGGAAAACAAGAAGAATGTATCTTCTACAAAAAAAAGAACTGCTTGATTAGCATCACAGTTCACAAAAGCAAAACTAGCTCAAGAAACTTACCTTCCAAAAAACTTTGCCAAAGAAGTAGAATATTATCCAACAGCATCAATGATATTTTCAAAGACAAATTCTCATATCTGAACCTTTCGCCACCACCAAACATTCTCAATAATCAAATAACAATTAACAAAACCATTATTAAAAGATATCTCAAGACATTAGAATGAATGATCGAAAAACTGGCAACAATACATCACAAAATAGAAAAACTCCATGAACTCTCAGTTTTTACAAACAGATCTCTAGACTCAAACCAAAAAATAGGATTTGATTGACACATTACCCAAAGACTAGACATCAGTTTCCAAGGAAAAATAAACAAGTTCCCATCCTCCACAAGAGCAGAACTTGCTGTGATATTCACTTTCCTCATAATAGTACCTGCCAACTGCACAATTATCATTTGCAGTGATAGTCAAGCAGCCCTAGGTACAATAAACAAGGCACAAATAAATCCAGTCAACTTGAGAACTCTTAAAAATAATAACTTAATCAACTCCATAACTCACATTATAGAAAACCAAAAACTCTCTATTATCTGGAAAAAAGTTAAAGCTTACAGCAATAACAAACACAATGATAGAGTAGATCTCTCAGCGAAAGAAGCAACTCTACCAAGAAAGGCATTTGAGATAGAATGCATATCAATTAGAAGCAATATAGTAAATTGGACACAAGAATGAAATGGACACACCCTAAACAATACAATTACAATCTCAATCAAAAATTTAACCAGTACAAAACATATTCACAATTAGAGAAGCCTTGATCGCAACCTCACAATAATTAACAATATCTCCATATTAAATAACATTGTATGGGAGGCCTCACTTACCAACAGGTCACCTTCAAAACTCATAACAAGACCAACCAATCGAGAGGACCACAATAGTAGATTCTTTAGATATATACTCTGGAACCTAGAACTATCTATCAAGGACAAACTGCACAGAAGAGCAGCAAACACTTATATGGACAACCAATGCCTCAACTGTCAACAAATAGAAATCAATGCATACTGCATGATATGCAGGGGAACAGAGCAGACATATACAAAAAATTACAGTAAATAATTAATGAAGAAGTCAGTAGTAAATCAAACATATCCACAAAACATAATTTCAATAGAGAACTCAACAAACAAGCAACATTCTGGACAAATGAAGTCAAGAACTATATAAAAAGAGAAGCTCTTACAATGGATTTAATAAAGACTATAAAAAAATACACATTGGCAAAATATCATAAAGAAACTATTAAAAGTATTGTCAACAGATTCCTCAATGTACAACAAGAAAAATGGAACCAAAGGTGTAATAACTTCATACAATGGAAAAAGAAACACAACATTACTGCAAAAGATAAAAGGTAATGGCAACCCATAATTACAAAAAAGAACACACAAATTCTGCATTCCAGATATTAATGCACTTATGGTATATGCTAGCTATTATTGAATTAACTGGAACACAATCTATTTATTTATAACAAAATTTTTATGGGACAGGTAAAGCCTTGGCAAATTAGTCAAATATATACCAGTACTTGGCAATAAATCACACGGTAGGAAGATTTCCTTAGGTAGATAGAGTGATAAATTTGTATAAAATAAATTTATATATACTCATCATAAAAATATCTAATAAACAAGGTGTAAGTCACTTATTAAAATATATATATAGACTTTGAATTTAGCTATTTTCTTTTTATATAAGTTCTATCTTATATTTATTTATATTTTTATAATTTTATTTAATATAATTTAAATTAAAAAAAATAATAAAAAAATAAATATAAAAATTTTAGAATTATAATTTAGAATTAAATTTAAGATTTTAATTTCAAATTATTATTTTTGAAAATATAATTTTGAATCTTAAATTTTTGATTTACTTTCAAAAATAATTACTATATTAATAATAGTAGTAAATATATTTTAATTTGGAATATAAGATATAAGAAAATAATTAAATGGAAGCAAATACAAGAGATTTGCAAAAAAAAACAAGATCAAAGATTTTAGTATTTTTTAAACCTAAAAATCATATCTCTGATAAAAAGATAACTAATAATAGAAGAAAAATATTTAGAAGATAAAAATTTCAAGAATATTTTGATAAAAAAGTTGAATATAAAATAAAGTGATTGAAGTTTTAAGCCTTGTCAGAATTTCATAAAATAATTTGCAGTAGTGACTTATAGACTATGAAGTTAGCAGTTGAAAGAATTTTTATAAAAACTATTAATAGAATAATAAATTATTTTTGAATTTGTATTTAGAGTTTTAAGAAATTTATAAATTAAAGATAAGTGAGTAAAATAAAGATTTGGCTTTAGTAAAATACTTTAAATGTAAAATATATAATATTTTAATAAAGTATATACTATATATCTAGCTTAACTAAAGGTTTTTTTTTAAAAAAAAAGTAAATATATTTTAATTTTTTATAAAATTGTCTTAATAAATCTATAAAATATTGGTTTTTCAATAATTACAAAGATAAGTTTTTTTTTTTTAGATTTATGTATTCATTATATAAAAACAATTTTAATATCTCAAGTTTAATAAATATAGTTATATTATATTTTATAATATTAAAAAATTTTTTAAACAAAAATATATTAGAATATATATTTATTTTTATTGAATAATTTTTTAAAAATACTTTAAAAAGTTCAAAATATTATTTTTTTTATAATTATTTTACTAGTTAATAATATTTTTAACAAATTATCTATAACAATATTATTGATGTTACTATATTTATAGTTATTTAAACTAATACTTTTATTATTTATATTATTAAAATTATTTAAAGAACTATCATAGTTCAAGGAGATCCTACGCGGTATTAATTATTGTAAACAATTAAAAAAATTTAACTTAAATTATTAAAAAAAATTATTAAAAACCTGTAAAAAATCAATAGTTGCAATATTAATAATAAATTCTGATGATTATTTTCTGGGGATTGTAATTTATAGTCGATTCTTTTCTTTTTTTTTAAGGATTTTCTTTTTATTGATAATAAAGATAATAACTTAACCATCAAAAATTAAGTTTTTGATCAAAAGAGAAGGTGGGGATAGTAGTAGTAACTCTTATTTTAAGAATAGCATTAAGACACGTGTATGTAACTTGCGAATCATGTAGTGCAAAATTTGGATTAGTTAATAAAAAGTTGCTTTCAATCCATGTAATTAGCTTTAAGTACAATAAAAATTTTTTATTATAAGAAATAATTTAAATTATTCGCGTAACAGATTAATTATTAGGTATGCAAATAGTTTTGTTATTATGGAGACTATAATAATGAAATGTAACTTGATATACAGTATAAAGTATTAAGTAATTTTTTAAAACGAGGTGAACTATCTCCGGGAATTAATAAATCTAATTATTTGATAACATCCAGATAACTTGTGCATAGAGTTGACGTTTTAGTGTTCAGATAATCATTGTTGTTAAGACTAACTGATTAATTAATTTCTTAAACAATAAGGATTCTCTCAATCGGTATCAGCTTTAGACCTTCAATATCGTACCAGATTCGTCTTATGGAATCATGAATTCTTCCTGACAACTTGAAAAACTTCAATATCCTCGATAGGGAAACTTGAAGTATCGATAATCTCACGTTCATAATCCTTCTTCGTGCAAGAACCCTCGATAATGTGTAGGTCCCCACACCCAAATCCAACACAATCATAGTTTGCAGCACAATCGCGTATTGCTTGCTCGGGATTGACGACACGGCTAATAATGGCTTCTTTCTTAGTATCATGTCCAGTGCCCAATGAAAATATAAAGCTGTCCTTGGTGACAATCCATTGCCCTGATGAATTCCATTGTTTTGGATTATATCCTCCGATCAATTGTCCCGAACCTCCTACCTTAATTACCACCACCGTGGGTCCTTGTTTATCACATCGATTTTTGAAAGTTTGCCGGGAAAATCCATCACGACTTCCGCGTGCGATTAATTTGAATTCGTACGGAATTCCGCCGAATTCTAACGGTTCATTTGATGTTTCTCTCCGATCGATCCAACTTGAAATCAAAGCAGCATGTTGCGCGGTAATAATTATTGAGTCCGGAAGACGTGCTGATTTTCGAGGAGGTAATATCTCCAAGTCTGGTTCACTCTTGGGTACCATGTAATAAAGTTTAAGGTTTTCTTTCAGATCATGCGGTAGCAATTTCTTATATGGTCTCACTTTGTAATAATAATCGGTCGACGAAATTTGGAAAAATCTAATGTGCGGTATGCATTCTTGCAGAGTTCGCTTCATTGCAGCGACATCTTTGCTCGACCATTCGGATGCATTAGAACTGACTTCGGGATTTTGTGCTGATGCCCACTTGATCACGTAATCCCAAATCTGAATTTCCTCCATTCCCAAGTCATCCCGTTTCAAAAGACTGATGAGACTTGTGCCCTCCAGAGACACAAAATCATCAGATTGAAATATCAAAGAAGCATCTTCACAAATTCTTTCTTCACAATAAGCTTTTAATTTTCCGCACGACTTGTGACGAGTTGACGTTTGGTGGACGTGGACTATATTGCGACGAAGCCATTCACTCTCATTATGAATTATGTGATCTTGAACATATTCCACCAATTCTTCTAATACAAGCTCATCAGCGGCAACCAACAGTTCGAGCAATTCTTCTTTAACCTCTTTATCCAAATCAACAATACCAGTATATATATATCTATGGCAAGAGAAAACATCATGTACTCATCGTTATTTAATCGGAGTCACCTTAAATAAACTTCAAATAGCATCGATAGATGTAAAACAACAGTAAATACCTCAAAACATCCTTAAACACTCTTGGAGAGATATTAGGTTTCTTATAAATGACAAAACCATCCTTTTTCGTTGCCCACTTTGCCGATAGTGCAATGCGAAAATAAGGTGATCTGGCTCGAAGGATAACGGAGTGAGCCCGAAAAACCTCCATCGCAGGCTCTTCACCTACTTGAATGGAAACATTATAATCATCGGCATAATCTACCAGATTACGGATATCTCTCAAAAGTGCATTTGACAAGTCTGATAACAACATTATGATATTAGGAGTGAAAGAAAAATAATTGAGAGTGAGATGTCTGATCTTATTTTTGTAGGATAACTCTAATAAGGAATCATGCCAAACAAGGCAAAGTACGCAACCGATATTTGTGCGTAGAGTGAAACACCACAAAAAAAAAAAAAATTTTTTTTTTTTGTTATTTAATGGAACCGGTCCCAACCAAGTTCACCTTCTTGCATTTGTCAAGTATACATGACATATGATTTTAAATAAGCAAATTATTTTTATTCTTTACGCGAAATAATTGTTACGTGATCAAATGTACGTGCACGCACGCACGTACGGGGTGAGGTTCGGCGTAGGGTGGCCGGAAATAAGCACTGCATATGCGCCCTTTTTTCGCATATATCGGACGCATATCTAGCATATCAGTTATATAATTTACGCAGTTAGTGCAGTTTTTTTATTAAAAAAAAAATGATTACTGTTAGTGAATGCCAACGAGAATGTAACCTTTATCAAGAAAATTTTTACATAGAAGGCAAAAAACTATTTTATGTTTTTTGCAACTTGTAGTAAATCATGAAAAAAAATTTTCAGTTGATTAATATTTGAAAACTGAAAAACATAAAAAAAATTATACAAAGAGCATGTCAGCTTATATTTATAGGTTTAATTGATTTATCAGTGATTATAAAATAATTACTGTGGATCTGGTTTAGCATTCCTCAAGTAAACATATTATTAGAGAAAACTGATAAGCTTAAGCCATTTTTGACTCAATATTGTAAAAATGATATATTATATTATATATTGTATATTGTGATAAAATTTATATTAGACTAATGTTCAAATTAAATTATTTTTAAAAGGACAATTCTCAAAAAAAGAATTCAAAAAATAATTTATAATAAAAAAATATTCTAGAATAGATTTATCAAAAATCCCTTTAAACAGTGTCATATAGTGTTTTACAAGAAACATGATTTGCTCAAAATCTATTTTTTTTTTTTTTTTGAAACGGTGACTCAACCTTGTTTTATTAACATTTCAAATCAATGCACAATGCAGATTACAAGAAATAATTGCAATAAAACACTCCTAGAACTATTTATGAGAGCTAAAATTTTACACTACTACTATCACTTTAATTCTGTAAGCTGATTACTCTTCGAGGGCTTCGTCAGTCGAGGACATACTGCCTATTCCTCAGCTGCTTTCAGTATCTCCATATTGTAAAAATCTAACTACTCCAATTCACGAGATGACTTGTTGTCGGAAAGAATTACTCAGATCAATCTAATTTACGTGCCAGGAAAGAAAATTGTATTGTTTAGGGTGTGTCCATTTCATTCTTGTGTCCAATTTACTATATTGCTTCTAATTGATATGCAGT